GTTTTTTTAATATTTTTTGAAGTTTAGATTTATCTGAAAAAAATTTCAATTTAATTTATTAAAAAAAAGTAAATTTGCAATATGAAGAGAGAGACTGTAAAGGAGGAGAGAGAAGATGAATGGAAGAAAAAGAAGTAGATAAGGACTCTTTAGTAATTTTACAGTTTAAATTGACCACATCACTCACCCAATGCCATATCAGCACCAAGCCACTTTTTGGTAACGGAGTAACAAGGATGTGGACGGAAAGATGACATTCGATGAGGTCATCGTCAGCAGAAGGGCTGATTTGCCGGTTTTGTCAAGTGGAGGGGCTGATTTGCTCTACTTTTAGGTAGAGGGGCTGATGCGCCACAACAATGGACGTAGAGGGGCTGAATTGCACCTTCTGCCTTTAAAATTTTATTAAAAAATAACAAACTCTTTTCATCCAAATCAGCGGGATAATTGGTAGGTTCTCCCTTTCATAAACACGTTGCAAGCATAATTTTGACTGGGAAGGAAAGGTTCCCCTGCATTTGAACGAACATGTGGATATTTAGATTCGAAATAAAAGGTGGAAGGGGGGGGGTCGGTGGTGGTGGGTCAAGGGTCAATGATTACAGTAGTAACGGAGTAGATTCGATTCCAACTCATATCTCATCCATGTGTCGTGTGTCAGTGTGTGCCCCAAATTATTAAAATTAATTTTAATTTAAAAAGTGAAAATTTATTTTTTGTAGGTGAAATTATATTAAATAATAAAATAAATATTTTAAATAAGAAATAAATTTTTTAATATTAAAAATTTTCTTCCGTTTAAAAGTTCTTCTGGTATTGAACTTTAAAAAAAAAAAAAAACCGGCACCATAAACTATTGAATGCTTTAAAAAATTAGTCACAAACTTTTTAATTTCAAGTCTAAAGTGAAGTTTCAATTTTTTGAGATACATAAACCACCTCGATATTAGGAACTGCTTTTCCGTTTCCCTTTGTCCTGTTTAGTTAGGCTTAGAGTGTAAGTTTTTATTTTATAAAAAAATATTTAAAAAATATTGTATTAAAAATTAAAATATATTATAAAAATTATTAAATTTTATAATAAATTTTTATTAAAATTTAATTGAATTATTATTATTTTTATATTTAATAAAAAATTAATATAAAAAATTATTAAATAAACT